AAATGTTCAACCAAGCCTCTTTCTTTACTCCTCACTAAGATGTTAACAGTGGTGAAGGAGAAACTTCAAGAGTACTGTGCAACAGTGGTGTAAATCAGATGTGGATACTTGAAAATTTGAAATCACATGATTTTACTAAAATCAACAGCTTAAAAACTTACGACTTTTCAACTTTATACACAACCATTCCCCACGATAAATTAAAGTCCAGGCTTTTTGATATAATTGACAGCTGCTTTTTCAATAAAAATGGAACTCGTAAATATACTTACCTTGTCATTGGTCATTTGCAAAATTATTTTGTTAAAAAACATTCTGATTGTACACACAAGTACTCTGAAGTTGACATTAAAAAGATGCTTGAGTTTCTGATTGACAATATCTATGTGGTTTTTGGAGACCAGGTCTTCCAACAATCTATTGGAATTCCCATGGGTACCAATTGCGCCCCGTTATTAGCAGACCTTTTTTTTGTATTCATATGAAGCAGAATTTGTCCAAAATCTTGTACGTGAAAAGAAGAAAACACTTGCTGTGGCCTTCAACTCGACATTTAGATATATCGACGATGTATCGTCAATTAACAATGGCTATTTCCATTCTTATGTCGATACGATATATCCTGGTGAGCTTGAGATAAAAGATACCACAGAGTCTGACACATCTGTTTCATATTTGGATATTTTACTTGAAAAAGACGTTAATGGTAATGTAACAACCAAGCTTTATGATAAACGTGATGACTTTAACTTTTCAATCGACAACTTCCCTTACTTATGCAGCAATATACCTTCTTCACCTGCATACGGGGTATATATATCTCAGTTCATTCGATACGCAAGAGCATGCTCTACGTATGTACAATTTCTAAAACGAGGTTAATTATTGACAAACAAGTTGATGAAACAAGAATATCAGCTGTCTCATTTAAAGTCATCATTTCGTAAGTTCTATGGTCGATACAATGACCTTGTCAGCAAATAGAATTTATCATCGAGTCAAATGCTGACTGACGTTTTTCATACTAATTGTTAGGCCATTATTTACGCACTGAATTGTCGACGGAGTTTTCCGTTATTTCCCGATCATGACAAGGAGCACACGGCGGGTGTGACCGGTCTGCAGGGGATGCTCACTCCTCCATGGCACCTGATCCCACCTCTGATGTTTAGAGGTCCGTGTTTGCTCTGCTCCTATTTTGTATTGTTTAATGGACTTTTGAGCTTGAATACTGTTCGTTATCTCCATATATTTCATTCCCTGTAAACTATTGAATATAGTTTATGACTTCCTTTGTAATATTGAAAAAAGTTACCCTTCTCTTTAAAGAAAACAACAGCTCCTAAATGTAAACTCGTTTTCCTTCTTTGGCAGTGGTATGTACTGCACAATGTATACAGTAAAATACACTTAATATCGCGAACACGCTTATAATGAATTGGCGTTTGTAGCGAAGTGATTTTCATTTCTCGTGGCTTTGAAACATGTCAATTATGAACCTAAGGGATATAACGAATTGCGTTTATAACGAAGCAAAATCGTTTCTCCTTGGCACTTCGTTATAAGCATGTTTTACTGTATCTCTAATTTTATTTACCCAGGTTTCTACCAACCAGAAGTCTTTTAGAATTTTTTCAGGTGAGCAAATTTTACACAAATAATGACATTTTTGCAGAATAATTAAATACTGCTTTTAATACAACATACAAATATAATTAATCTAATAACAATAAATAGCTGTAATTAGGATAAGCTTTTCTTTTCATTTAATTTCACCGGTTTTGCAGCTAACAGTCATTCTCTCAGCAGCAGAATCTCTAGTGAATACCAATGTATCTGGCAGTAAATACATATTCATTTGTACCAGCCAAGGGATTTAAGATCTCTAAAACCATATTATAGTTTAATTAAATTTTCCAAAATTTAAGAATATATGTTTGTATGAAATTATTATCAAAAAATGAAGAAAAAAAAATACAATTACATTTCAGACTATATGTACATGTATGCATGAAATGATAACTAAAAAAGGGGGAAAAGTGCACTTGTAGAGAAAAAGTTTTCCTCTGACTGTCTATAATGTGATCGTTAACAAAATGCACATTTTTTTTTTAGGTTTACAAAAAAGAAAATGGTCTAATGTTTAGTCCATGTATCAGTTTTGCATATTTTAGAGTCAATTAAGAGCCAGTAGAAGAAAAGACTCCACAGTAAATAGTAAAATACATACACAGGGTTCAATTGCAACCTGGTTGAAACATTCATATTAGTTAATGCAAATAGGGTGCAGATTTATCTTTAAATTCACACACTTTATTTTCTATTGTAAGCTCCTTTCTAAATGAAACATTAATTTCAGATCCAGTGAAAGACAGACTCGTAGAAATCGAAGAGGAGAAGTTTGTTTTTTTATGAAACAACAAAAAAAAAGGAAAAGGAAAGCTAGGGTGGCAATACAAAATGAGATCAAATATTTTCATGGGAATATAGAGGACAAAATGTTAAAAACACCTTAATCTATGTGATATACCGTACATGTATATACTCATTTATAAGTCTGTTTGCCAATGGCCCGCTTATAAGTTGGTATGGATTTTTGCCAGGTTATTTCACTAATTTCTATATTTCCCCTTCCAGAAGAATACTTATGTTTCTAGGTCTTGCCTATAAATCGAACATAGAGTTTTGGACCATAATTTAACTCCCAAAAACTTAATATCTATAGACGGGTACGTACGGTAGGTGATCATTGTGGCCCTGGTCTTTTTTTTTTTTTTTTTTTTTTTGATATTTCAAATGCTAAACATAATATGCTGTACTTTTCAATGCAGTCAATTAAAATGGAGCCAATTATCTATATCGATTTGAATATCGGTAGTATATTTAGACTAAGGATCAGATACACTTTACGTTAATTAGCTTCAAATTATACGTTATACTATTTTATTATTTACTGTGGAGCCTTTCACTGTTAGATCCTGTATTGTCTGCTGAACAATATGGTATAGTGTTCACTGTTACACATTATTGAAATGTTTACATAGTAGAATAGTGTAATTAATATCTAACTTAACTGTAATATTTTTCCTCATGATGTTTTAACATAGAGTGCTGCGTTTTAAGATCAATTGTACAGTAAAACAATGTTTTTTTAATGTATTGAAAATACATTCAATTGGCTGACTTGTTTCATACCAATTGTAAGGACTTTGTTATTGCACTGAATTGACTACGGATAGTTCCGTCTACCTACTCAATACATAAGGCTCACGGGGGTGTGATCGGTCAACAGGGGATGCATACTCCTCCTAAGTAACTGATCCCGCCTCTGGAAATTCCCGGGTCCTTGTTTTACGCTCTCTTCACATATTTGTATTGGTTATGGATTTTTTTTTGAGATCGGTCACTATTCGGTATCTTTACCTTTTACATTCTATAACTTAAGACACAATTTAAATAGCAGATGTTCTACCAGAGAGTCAATATATTGTAAAATATGAAGTTGAAGCATATCAAAATGATAAAAATATAGATTAAGCTTGTTATGCACGGTCAAGTGATCCACATATTGGATATGATTACTGTAAATCAACTATTATTCGCGTTACGAGATCTTTTTTTACTTGCGAATAATTCTCGCCGCGAACCATTACTTTTTATTTTGTTTTGTATAAATCGCCTTCACAGTTGCAGAAATTGTTCATCGCGGATTGATGCACACTTACGGATCACAAATAAACGATGCCGCGAATAATAATTGGTTTACAGTATGCAATTTTTAATTTTTAAATACATATAGTATATAAGAGTGTGTGTAAATTCAACCTGTATCTGTACCACTTTGAAATATAGTGAAATACGGACGGAGATAACGAACAGTTATCAAGCTCAAAAGTCCATTGAAACAATACAAATCGGGAGCAGAACAAACACGAAACTATACAAAAAATCAGAGGTGTGATCAGGTGCCATGGAGGGAGAAAGTTTCCCCTGGTCTTACCCGCCGTGTGTTCATTGTTATGATCAGGGAAACGGAAAAAAATTGTAGGCAATCCAGTGTTTAAATAATGGCCTAACAACTAGTATGAAAAACGACAGCATTCGATTTAATGATAGATTGTATTTGCTGACAAGGGCAATGTATCGACTATAGAACTTGCGAAAAGATAACTTGATATCCTTTTTTCATCAACTTCTTTGTCAATTGCTTATTTCGTTTCAGAAATTGTTCCTACATGTACAATGTACGTGGAACATGCTCTAGCGTATCGAATAAACTGGGAGATACAAACCCCATATGCAAATGATAAGGGTATATTGCCACATAAGTAAGGGAAGTTCATGATAGAAAAGTTGAGGTAATCACATTCATCATAAAGTTTTGTTGTTAGGTTACCAGTAACGTCTTTTTCTAGTAAAATATCCAAATATGAAACAAAAGTTTCAGACTCTGTGGTATCCACTGGGATATATATCGAGTCGACATTTGAATGTAAGTAACTATTAGTAATTGATAATACGTCGTCGATAATTCAAAATATTTGATGTAATTGATTTTGGTAAACTTTTAGTGAAACTATTGATCAAAATAGTTTAAGTAGATAATATTAAAAGTAGACAAATTTTTTTTAGGAGAGATAATGGAACTTCGGGTACCAATACATGTTAGATAATCAATACTGAAGTGCCTATCTTTCATCCTCAGGAGAGACAAGCCGTTCTGTTTCTAGTCTTAAAAAAAACATTATTTAAATTTTAGAACATGAAGGGAGAAGAATTTTCATGTCAGTTCAAATTAAGTATCGGGAGAGAAAAATATTCGCAGAGATAAATTTCTGTATAGTATTTTTTTTTTATAATAATAGAAATATAGAGCATGATTCAAAACACATCACAGTCATGTTACTGTTAAAGGATGATAAACATGTTATATTTTGTTAAGCAATGCTCAAAATTGTATTATAGTGATTTCAAACTACACATCACATGGCATGTAACTAATAGAAATTTATGAATAAAACGGATTTACATTGGACAGACTTAATATGCAAATCAAATTAACACAGCCAATCAGTTCAATTTGATGCTGAAAATTCAGAAGACAGTATTCTTAAATTTGTGTGGAGGCTGTAACAGTCGTTGTCTCCGAAACATTCTCTGTTGTTTTTGATCCGTCGCCTAATTCTTGGGATTCTGTAGTAATAAATATTGCAGGTAAATGTTTACCACTAGAAATTCTTTTAACCAAACGCGATATTTTAACTAAATTCTCTTTTCGTAAAATGATATAGATCCAAGGGTCTATAATGGCGTTGGAGATGGTCATTCGTACAGCTAGGAGTTCCTCTGGTCCATTCTTAGGATCCTTTGCACTAGCATTTATCATCATTCGAATCTGAAATATAATTCAAACATTTAAGTTTATCTTTTAAATTTAAAAATATGCACTATTTACTGTTGTTATTAAAAATATTGCATAGAGCAGATTTAAAAGTATAATTTAAAATTTTCATAAATATAAAACATGTGCCTGTGTTACAGGGGCTTAGAATGGGGTGTGGGGTGTATTTCAATATGCTGTTAGTCAAAGAATGACATTTAGAATAAAGATAGGTGTGAAAGGTTCCTAAATTTAAATACTATCAGAAATGAATAAAAGGCCATGCAGCATGTTTTCTGAATTCTGATTATACATTTTGTTGGCTCTAACTCTTTTATTTTTTCAATTAAATACTTTGAAATTTAAGAAAAAGATAATTATATATTTTAAAGCAAAATAAGTATTTTAATGTGAAAAGTTTAGAGAATATGCGCAAACACACGTGCTGAAATTTCAGTGCCCATCGTTGTAAGTGGTAATAACTTTCTTGGTTTTTACCCCAAAAAAGACGAAATTTAGAGTGTATGTTACATGTAATACTATAAGTCCTGTATAAAACGATTATTTTGCTAAATAAACTGCTTATAAATTTGAGGAATCCTTGTAATGGGTTTTCCATTCATACAATATCTTCAAAAAGATACTTGAATTATACATTTTATTCAACGCTTGATTAAAGGGGCCGACACACAGTTGCATTGTTTACAATTTTCTATTTCTATTAAAAAATAACTCCAATTTAATGATTTGAACTTACATGAATCTTACGAGCTCTGTTATTGTTAGGGTTTACGTTTTACTGGGCGAGTTCAATTTTTTTTAGTCTGCACACATCACTGAGCACGGACTGACAATAGTGGTGAGTAGGTTTTGCTTTCTCGCATTTCTACTCTGAACTTTCTGGATAAGAGGATTCATATTTTTCATTAATACATAAAAAATTATACTTTTTTAAAGTATTATGGAAAAAAGTTTACTTTGTGAAAGTGCAAGTATATATGTGTCAATCAATCACGTCCCGAAAAGCGTGGTTTTAATACTTTCCAGCAGATAAAAGAATTTCCTTAACACACTATTAATATATATCGGTGTGCTCGAGCAACATCTAAGTCATGACATTATTTTAAAAAAATCAGAAAATGTGAGCTTCAAATCTGTGTACGTCCCAGCCCCTTTAATTTTCAAGGTGGCTCAAATTTGAACTCTGATGCATAGATTCTTTGTCGAACATTCCAATGCAAAAAAAAATATTGATGAACCCAACCTCACACAAAGAACTGTTTTTATTGCCATTGTAATAAAATGTGTTATTCAGTGAAATTGAAAAGGTTTACAAATATTATTCCTCTGACTGTGAAAATTTAAAAAAAAAATCATCAAGGGGGTAGAACAAAGCTCTTTCAACAAACCATTTCGTGTAGCCAACACTTGATACTGATCTTATCAATGAATGAAACAAGCGCTATCAGTATGATGTATAAACTCATTTACTGTATGATTCGATGGAAATTTCATTCTGGAGATAAAACATTTTTTTTGTTATCAGGCCAGTAATTGCAACGCTTGATTTGAGTATGATAGTTTTTCCAAGATGTGTATTGAATTAAAATCAATTACAGGTTAGTAGTTACTGATAAAAGTGCTGATTAACTTTTCGAACAATCACCATAAAACTTTGTCTTTCTCATAAAAATTAAACGAAAAATAATTATTTTAGTTACTCTTGATGAGGTTGATCAGAGAGAGCAAGCGATCACAAAAGTTAAACATACAGTAAACAGGATGCAAGGAATACTCAACTGCCAAAAATATATACGGTCAAAACAGTTACAAAGTGGAATTGTGGTGCGAGTCTGTCCTAAAATGAAATTAATTCAGCAGCTCATGAGTGATTAGGCTTACTTTGGGATTAATTATATAATCGCAGCTTTGAAGTCGGTATAAGATGTTCAAAGATTTAAGGTATATAACAAATTGCATATACAAGATTAGGACGTGATTTTTATTACCATATAGTCATGTGTTAATAATAACAGAACAAAAATTTTGTAAATGTTATCATCTTGAACTTAATGATGTCAGTATTTATTTTATAATTATGTGCAAATTCCCTTGAAGGGATAAAAGTATACACTTTAAACCAGCTTTTCCTTTCTCGTTAACATACCTTTTTTCCCAAAAAATACTTTCGAAAATCTGCTTCATTTATTTCATAGTTATCAGTTCTTACGAAATAAAACTGTTGATAATACTTTTGATTTTCAAAAGCATTCGAAAGCAAGCACTTACTACATTAAATTCAAGCACTTACCACTAATGGTATCCAGCAAACGCTGAAGACAATAACAATGGACAGCATCAACGTTACTATGTATGTTTCATCATTCTTCCTTTTCCTCCTTTCGAAATCATTCGATAATATGCCATCTTGTTTGTCATATTTACAAACTGAGTAAATAACAGCTGTGTTCGCTATAACAGTAATTAAAAGAATTAATAAACACAGACTTGAGTAAACGTACGTGTTGATTCTATCCAAACAACGCCGGCTTGCAAAATTGATAAAACACCAAGTTCCTGGATAGTAAATTTTAACGGATCCAAATCCAAGCAATGGAAACGAAGCAATCATTGCCGAAAATACCCAAATCGCCATTAGTACCCGCTTAGTTTTATGATTTCCATGTCTGTAGGTAATTGGGTATCTTACCGCAAATAAACGGTCACAAGACATTGCACATACTATCATGGCGGATGATAGAAATGAAAATGAAAACAAGAAGACGTCAAAGTAGCAAAATTTTTCAGGAAACTCGAATTCAAAATTAGACGCATATCTAGTTATGGCTACGGGGTAGTGAAATAACAATCCACACAAATCTGTTATAGCCAGAGCAAACACATATTTATAAAATTCTCCCCATCTATGCGATTTGGAGTAATAAAAAAGTAGGATAAGAGCAAGAAGATTTCCAAAAATTCCGAAAGAACCTTGTAAAATCGGAGGCACAATACTTTCAGACAAAGTTTCATTCAACTTCCCGGTATAATTACTGAAGTCCAGCATCTCCATTTGCTTTTTGAATTTGAATAAAACGATCTGATGAGGGATCGATACATTACCAATTTAACACAAGTTGTTAACACAGTACTCGTGACGGTTAAAAAATCATTAAGCATCATGCACAATTTTAAAGGATCAAACAACATAAGGTTGATTTCGATGGACTAATATTATGTTTTGGGTCAATAAAAAGCTGCATTATAGGACCAGCGCTATTGGGTGCATATGTCAAAAAAGTTTACAGAACGAGGTGATAAATGACAACAACAAAAAATTAATAACACAAATATTAAATCTACACAAACACCCTCACACAAATTTTTAAAAATATAGTTCAATTTACTATTTTTGAAAGTTAAGCACACGAATAACTAGGTAATTTTCGAATGTTCACGAATAGGAGATTAGTAAAATTGCGTCTAACGACTGCCGAGGCAAACAAATTGACGAAATGTTTTAGGTATCACTAAATTTAAAAAAATGCCTTATTAATCAAATACAAAAATATATGGTCCAACTGTGACACTACTCGTGATTAAGAAGAATGATAAAACTTATATAACTGCTTTATTATTAAAATCCAAAATGACAAACAAACCAACAAATAAAGGTTCAGCACAAAGTCAAAAGGTACTTAAAAGTTTTTTTTTCTTTGCATTCAGCCCACTAGTTGTGTAGGAGGTATCATATGCATATCATTACCAAATGTTGGTCAGTAGAATGGTCAGTTGTCCGGTTAATAAGAAGTATTTATCAGATTCCAATTTCGACCCTCTCACCATCAGTTCATCAGTTAATCAGTTCACGTAAGTAGAGTCCATAAGTAATTAGTATCTTAGGATGAAAGCGCACTTAAGTATCAGTAGAACATAAACATAATCTATATAAAAATATAACGTTAATACAGTTATAATGAAAGTATACTGAATATTATTTCACAATAATAATTAATAAATTTAATATTTAAATGTATATTGTCATTGTGTTAGATTCCTCCCCAAAACAGATGAAACATTGTCCAATGTTTTCAAAAAGTCCATACACAATGATTTCACAGTCCATAAATGTTTTACTTAGTCAAGGGAATCCACACGCATTTATATTCGAATAATGGTCATCTAACATCAACAATTTATATTAAGAATATTCCTTGTGATCGGTAACATTCAACTGCAAAATGTTAAATGGTAACACTAATGTCCCTTAATTATGGCGATATCCGATAATCGTTATCAATTCTGTAATTCAAACACGTTAACATCATCGGTTTTCCTCATAGGAACCGTCATCGTACATCGTTTTTAATTTTGTTCATATCGTGATCGTATAGTTTTCAGTTTTTATTCAAATGATATTGCAACAATATTGTCCTTAAAAGCACATTTAAGTAGTACTTGATGTGAGACCGAAACTTGGTGTTACATGGTGTTAATCTGGTGTATTGTGGAGTTAAAACGTGGGATGCAGTTACTACTGGTTCAGCCAAACTCTGGATTTTCTCAGAAGTGTAAACCTATAGGGTTTAGAACTGAAATTTTATTTGAACATTTTCAATACGTACCACACAGTGGGGGAGATAACTCTTGCCATTTCAATTGAACGTTTAGCGTGACGTCAAATTTGACGTTAATAATAAAGCGTCAAAATGACGAGCGATACGAACCCGGTGTATTAAGTAGAAACAGAAAAAATGGGATTTGGGCTTGATTGTGATTTCTTTATGAGGACCAAATTCTATCATTGATTTTTTTATTAAACTCCTCCACTCTTTGGAAAGGAAGAAACGAAAGATTACACCTTAAATTTCTTTAATTTCACATTATGTAAATCGTATGGCACAGCGTTTTTCATTTGAAAAATTTTATGTTACATTTCTTTTTTCCCCGTTACAGTTGACTAACATAACATTCCGATTACAGGTCTATCCTATAATTAATATGCATTCAACAAATATTGTTTTGTTCTTCTTTTATATATATATAAAAAGAAACAAACAAATAAGTAAAATAAAAACATATTTTACAATGTAATTATCGATACCATTCTCAGAAGCTCACTGGTCAAGGAGGAACAACTCTAAACATTTGGGAGATATTTGTTTTCCCTCCGTTTAGCTGAGTTATTCCTCCTGTTTTCCGAACAATTGTGTTTCTCACGAATACACAGATCTATACATTTACTCAGACTGGCCTGATGAACTCGGGAACTGAATACTATAATATATACAAAGTAAGTATCGAAAGTGAAAAAGAATTGTTTACAAAATATTTGAATTCATGAATTATATCTCATTGCAGCAATCTGTCCGACCTTCTGTCACTGTGAACAGTGTCGGTTCGCATTTCCTCAAATCAAAATAAGATAATATCACTGTTCACAAGAATCATTTTAAAATAAATGAAGAGTTTAAAGTTTGATACATTGAAGTTAATATGGACGAATACGGAGTTTCCACTTTATCTATAGAAGCAACGGGAGTATGCATACAATATGGGGGGGGGGGGGATCCTCACGCACCCCTTTGTTTAAAAATGTTAAGAAACTATAAAATTTCCATTTATACCACAGGAGAGTTGAACATACGCCATTGTGAGGTCACTTTTAACAAGAAATAAAATTAAAATTCATTAAATAAAAGTAAATTTCAATGTCAGTTGAATTTCATATCCAGGTATGAAATATGAATGCATATGTATGGACTACATACCGGACACGTTGGCATAAAATCCAAGTAAAGTTTTACTTAAATACAAAATGTACTAGTATTCAATATTTAATATGCATACATGAATTATCAAATTAGTACTTCAGGAATTCAATGGACTAAATATAATTGCAATATATCCAATGTTTAATCAAGCTCGAATAGTCTGTGTCGCTAAAAAAATAAATAAATAAAAGTAAGGGGGGGGGGGGGCGTAGTAAAAAAATTGCCTATAAATCTACATTTAAATGTGTACATTTGAAATCTCTGATAAAATAAAATGTAAATAACATGTTCAAAGCAAAAGATATTTTCCAACTTGGAATTTTTAATGTGTATTTGTAAATTCATAGCATTTTATCGTCTCAAGAAACGTGATTTTGGGAGAAGGCGGAGGGGGTGATTTTCCGCTATAAATTCAAAACGGGTCGTTTAAAAAAAATTATGAAGATTATTTTCGCAACCAGCTACTTAATAAAAGTATTTTTTCCAAAATTAAATGATAGTTTGTTTTTTTTTTTCATTAAAAAAAATATTTAAGTTGAAAAATAAGCATTTTTCAAGGCTAAGATGAACCATAGTTTTTCACTTTAAGGTCTTCAAAAACATTTATGTCGATATATACTTCTACAAAATTACTTTATTTGGGTGTCTAATGGTCAAACGAATTAGTTGATGAAGTTTGACAACCAGGCTATCCCGACTTTTTTGAAAATCGAGGATTTTATAGTTGGTTGATTGAAAATATTTGCTCCTCGTACAGCTAAAGAGGGGGGGGGGGTTAACGTTTGGAACTTCCTGTCCAAATACGACTCGAACGATTTTGTCCAAAATGTGCATACACATAGTAGATATAGTCATTTATAAAATATACAAAAAAAAAAAAAAAAAAAAAAAAAACGAAAATTAAACGACAGGTATTTGTTCGGGGTGGGTGTGTTGTACATCCTTAAACTTAGAATATATTCATAACATAATCATTTTAGCTATTAATAGTGAACTTATTAGTGGCAGAAAAATAAAATAAAAGTTTATTAACGAAGGATGGACATAAATAGTGTACCACATGCAGTGATTTTTTAATTGGAAAAGGGACTTTAATTCCATGAACTATAATTATCTTGTTGGAACAAATTGGATTTTGATACAATGAACTATAATTTTGTAAATTCTTTTGTATTGGAATTGATCAGAATAGACCAATCAAGCTCATCGATACTAAGGAGTAAAATTTGAACGGAAATGCAACGTTACTTGACCAAAAGCAATAAAATTGGGAACTTTGAAGTATATATGTCGGTTAGTAAAAGAGCTTAGGGCTAGAACTCCTGGGATGCAGAGATGGGGACTGAGTCCATAAATAATACTAATGTAGGTATACCTTGATTGGAGGGTGGTGGCATGTTGGGGTTCATTGGTCAACGGACAGACCTACGGACCAAACGTAGGTGGAAAAGCAATGGTAAGGCAGCCAATTAAAAGTACTTTTATATCCGGGACTATGAATACCCTCTGAGCATTAAATACCCTGTTTGCCTGAAAACGGCATCTTTTCAAACTTCTTATTTCTTTGGAATCATTTTTGGACTCTATCTTTTCTTTTTTTCCGTTGGGTTCTAGTTCTCAGCTCTTCTGGAATATTTTGGACTAATCTTAAAAACTTTTGTTATTCTAAGTGCGTTGGTCTATTCTGATGACATTCCAGGAATTGTAAATAAAAATCTATACGATCATGGTGGATTACTAAACTTTTGAAAAAGAAACAAACATCTTTGTTATTGGCTTACAGCAGCCGGAGATTGAATGTTCGTCATAGTCATCATAGGGCAAAAAAATTAAATACTTGGTTCTCTGGCCAGTTTTGTCAAAAATAAATGAGGGAGGGTGTTTTTTTTTTGTTTTTTGTTTTTAAATTTTTACCTAATAAAAAAAAAGACGAGGTTTTTTTTTTTAATTTCAAAACTCAAACTTTTAAACAACAGTGCTTCAACATGTGCATTGAGCAAAGAAAATTGAGACCATTTACTTTCACTTTTCTTCTTTTTTCTGTAGCATTTTCTACATTTTTTTCTTTTGAACGCAAAATATGATTTGCCCTACAGCTTTCACAAGTGGGGTATATCCCTTCAATTTGCTCAGCTGCTTCATCTGATCAGTAAAAGCAAACAGAACGGAATATGCCAGTACTAAAATACGGAATTTCAACTGGACCTTTCCAGTGTAGATTAGCTCGGACATATATATGATCCAGCAGGGCAGATATCTTTGGAGCCCTTTCTCTCTTTTTTGGCTTGAGCTCTTGGAG